ACACACACACACACACACACACACACACACACACACACACACACACACACACACACACCGCTCATTTTCACCCTGAATCCTAATCTGCTCAGAGACTCACACCAGAGCTCTGACATAATCCATCAGGACCGGAGTCTGTCACTGCAGCCCCGAGGCTGATGAGCTGCGCTACCTGCAGGAGGAGCTCCTCCTCCTCCTCCTCCTCCTCCTCCTCCTCCTGTGTGAGTTTAACTCTGTGACTCATTCATTCCTGAGAGTTGACTTTTCTGAAATCCCACCCTGGATGTTCTCAGACTCAAACACGTTTCTGTTTCCGTGGCTTCAAAATAAAACGTTTTGCTGCTGTTTGAACTTCTGCAGCGTCGGTTCCTAACCCCGTGTGACCCGCTGTCCTGCACGTTTAACACATTTAGCTACTTTTAGCTTCAGCTAGCCTTTTGCTACTTCACCTAATAATTAATATTCTGCAAATTTTTGGTTTTAGCTAATCTTTGGTCATTTTTAGCTGATGTTTTGCTACTTTTTTACAGTAACTTGCAACATTRCGTTTGTCTTTTGCTTACTTTGCTTTTGTAACCATTCTCTACTTTTAGCTGTAGCTAGACTTTAGCCACTTGTAGTTTTAGCTAGTCTTTTACTAATCTGAGCTAATATTTGGCAACATTTTACTACTTTTATTTTGCTACCTTCAGCTAGCTTCTGCATTTTTTTAGCTATCCTTTTAATTATCCCTTTCTACTTTTAGCTGGAGCTAGACTTTAYCRACTTTTAGTTTTAGCTACCCTTTTACTACTTTCAGCTTTTAGCTAATCGTAGGCAACTTATAGTTTTGTTTTAACAGTTTGTTGCTACATTCTTTTGCTTTTTTTGCCCTGCTTTTTGTTAACCATTTTCTACTTTTAGCTGTGACTATTTAGAGTAGCTATTTTTAGTTTTAGCTAGTTTTTTTTACTACTCTGACCTAACTTTRGGCAACTTTTATTCTGTATTTTTCTATATTTAGCTAGCTTCTGCATTTTTCAGTTATTCTTTTGAATAAKCTTTTCTACTTTTAGCTGTAGCTAGACTTTAGCTACTTTTAGTTTTAGATACCATTTTGCTACTTTCAGCTAATATTTGGCATCTTTCAGCTGTTTTGCTACTTTTTGCCAGTATTTTGATATCTTTAGCTATCCTTTTGCTTCCATTTTTAAAACATTTTCTACTTTTAGCTTGTAAAAACTTTTCCTACTTTTAGCTGTAGCTAACCTTTTGCTATTTGTAGTATTAAGTAGGTTTTTGCTATTTTGAGCTTTAAGCTGACCGTTTGCAATTAATTTTTAGCTTTGGTGCTTTGCTTTTTCTAGATTTTAGCTAACATTTTGTAAACTTTACTTTTAAACAGCCTTTTGCTACTATACCTTTTAGCGCAGTATTTGAAGCTTTTATCATTTTGGTTATTTCACATAGCATTTTGTTACTTTAGCTTTTAGCTYGTGTTTGTTTTAGTTTCAACAGATTTCAGCTGATATTCACTGTTTTTTTTTCTTTCTTTTTTTTTAGATGAAAGTGCAGTTGAGCTTCATCAAAGCAAAGGTTTTGGACCCAAACCCAGAAAAAAAGATCACGAGTTGAAGCAGAAGTAAAACTTTTACTGGAAGAGAAGAAAAAAGCAGGAGCCGAAAACATGATTATTAGTCAAGCAGCCGAAAAACTTCAGCTGAACGTCTTCATTGTCCTCCAGCAGCAGCTGAACCACATTCCTCCACACTCAGCTGTGTTT